GAACGATGTCAGTTTAAGATCATGTACATCCACTCTCTTCCTTTCTTCGATTATTTCGTTGCTGAAGCCAGCAAGGTAATTTCGGTTTTTTTCACCGTAGTTATCAAAAGCAATCTTGAAATCTAACTTTATTTGCGATATAACTTCATCCACATATTGTTTGTTCGCAACATCAGCGACATCTGTTGGCAGTTTTACGTTACACATCTTCAAATGACCAACATCAATATCACCGGTTGGAGTATGTGAAAATCCAGATCTGACTGTCACCATCTGAGCTGAGCGTGGAAACGAACCACGTCCGAATTTGTCGAGACTCATTATGCTAATGACTAAAGTATTGTACGTTATCGATAATGGTCGGCACTTTGCCTCGCCAATTATTAGCCCCTTCACTCATAGACATGCCATGAAAGTGTCACGGAACTGTCAAGGAAGTGTCATGGAACTGTCACGGAAGTGTCAAGGAAGTGCCACGGAACTGTCACGGAACTGTCACGAAAGTGTCAAGGAAGTGTCACGAAACTGTCACGGAAGTTGTCATGGAAGTGTCACGGAAGTATCACAGAAATGTCACACATGTTTTATTATGCCTGCCTCTTCTAATTCGTTCAAGATGGCAACAATCTCGTTATCGTTTGATGTATTTCCGGCTTGCTGTGATGCAATGAGCAACTTCAATCTATCTACCAATTCGTTTGGATCGTCCCAATACATGTATTCGATAGGTGCTGTGTTGTATGTCAACTTCAAACCACGACCACTGGAATTGGATCTGAACATTGGACGAATAATTTCTACGTATTTGAGTCTAGAGGAGGACTTCATACGTCCTGCAGAATTCAGATGAGCTTTGGTGAGCAAGAGTATTTGCCTGTATGGATTCGTATCATCTTTGGCAAAGGATGGATCATTATAGAAGAGTAATTGATAGAGGCCTGGGGTGCCACGGAACCGAAAGCCATCAAGAAGTATATCTCCAGTTCTTCGATGGAAATTCATTTCTTTTCCGTTGAGAGACCATTTCGATGTTACTGGATCATATTTGGGGCCATAAACCGTATCGATATTTTCATCATTTGTCCAGTATTCAGTCAGATATTTTTGAGCCATCGCAGGATACTGATCAACGTAATCATGTATTGCAGCCGGTGAGATATTTTCACTATCTACAAAAAGTTCATCATCAGCATCGTCATAACCATCCTCATCATCATCTTCAGTATGCCCAGCATTATCAGCCACATCCATCATAGGTATGAAATTAGTTTGATTCAAATCCGATTGCTCCCTCTCCACCTCCCCATCCTCTTCCTCCTTCTTCTCCTTCTTCAACCCCAACGATTTTGCTCTGCTTCGCTTGATGTTTGAAAGCTTTCCATCGAGTTTTTCTTTTATTACCTTGGACGTGGTGGCAATTTGTTTCAAAGGTGATGTCAGTGGTTGGAATATTTTCTGTAACGCATCATCATCCTCAGACTTGCCCAATTTTAGTGCTAAATATTTTCTTCTGATTGATTTCGATAGTTCGTTGATTTTTTTCTTGCGCAGCGCATCAGCAACATCATCATGCATCTTGGTTGACGTCATCTTGATGAATGGTCCAGAGATTACAGTCTTATGAACTTATCGAAACCATTTCTATATCTGCCAGCATTCATATCGAAAGTTTTTGCAATCACCATCGCACCATATTGGTTGGAATTCCAACACTCTGAGCACAATGCTTTGAATTGATCGAATGACATTTCTGGTGAGACATGCTCGTCGAACACATGCTTCAAATTCATCTCATCCTGTCGAAATAACACCAACAGGTTACTGTTGTCTCGCACCAGCTGCTTCGGTATCTTAGAAAAAGTCTGACATAGGTATGCTACGTCAATATCCTTGTGTCTACACATTGAAAAATATTCTCGAATTTTTTGCTGCTTGTCGCATGATACATCATCAAAAATGAATATCGAATTATTTTTCGCTTCTGATGGACTGATGACATCATCATTTTCTCAAGGGAAAATACCCAACACCTTTCACTGAATCCAACACTTGTTGCAGCAATTGATATTTCGGTTGGTACAACGACTTTGAATACACGTAAACGTTCTTGAATTTCGCGCCATTTGGATTGAACAGCAGGGAAAGCATCGCATTGGTCTTTCCACATCCGCTTGGTCCGCAGAAGATTGCTCTGAACGAATGGGGAAGCAGTTTCCCATGTTTACTATTTACTGGGGGTTTGGTTGACAAAATTTCATCCAAATTCACAATGGGCAACATCCGTTCTTGTTGAATGATCTTCATCATGTGATGATATATTTTTCATTTCATTAGGTATATGCAGAGTTGTCGAACTTCCTACACGTCAGTCTTCATGTTGCTCTACCACGGAGAGGGTGTGCTTAATTCTCTGATCGATAAACTTCCCATCGAATTACACATTCCAGGCTACAGATTTTGTGGTCCAGGTACCAAACTCGATAAAAGACTTGCAAGAGGAGACACCGGTATCAATCCGTTGGACGACGCGTGTCGAGTACACGATATCGCCTATTCACAAAATTCCTCAATAGAAGACAGGCACAAAGCTGATTGGATATTGGAAAATAGAGCGTGGGAGAGAGTCAAGTCGAAGAACGCTAAATTCAAAGAGAAGGCTGCTGCTTGGCTTGTCACCACCGGAATGAAGGTCAAACGAAAACTTGGCATGGGTCTTGTATCACAGCAATCCCTATCCAACATTATCAAATTCATAAAAAATGTACTATCAAAGTCAGATGGTGGTGGTGGTGGTGGTGATAGTACAACATCAGGAAGTGGTCTGAATAAATCTGCATTGAAAGCACTCCATGCAGCCAGAATGGCAATCAAGAGGGCTGGCGGTAAAAAAAGAATCAGAGTACCAAGAATCATACCTCTTCCACACAGTGGCGGTATACTACCATTGATACCAATCTTTGCCGCCTTGGGGGCCCTAGGATCTCTAGCTGGAGGAGCCGGAGCAGTCGCAAAGACAGTCATTGATGCGAAAAATGCAAAGAAAAAGCTCGAAGAAGATCAAAGACATAATAGAGCAATGGAGGCTATCGGCAAGCAGGGTTCCGGCCTATTTCTACGCAAAACATCGAGAGGATTCGGACTGTACTTGAAGAAACAATCAAAAAACTCAAAAAACTTCTAGACAAGCTACCCAATAAATCAATGTACGATAAAGATGTGATAAAGTATGCCAAACAGCTGAAAATACCATATTTTCGAGGTGTTTTTATGCGGGACACTCTACCTTCCACCGGTCCATGGCATCGCGAGTGTGCTGTATTGAATTTGGATACCGCCAATCATGCGGGCACTCATTGGGTGGCTTACATAAAAAATGATAAAAAAGCCTTATATTTCGATAGTTATGGCAATCTGAAACCGCCCAGAGAATTGGCTCAATATTTGGGTACCGGCACGAAAATCATGTACAATAATGAGCAATACCAAAATTTCAATCAAAGTAATTGTGGACGTCTATGTTTAGAATTCCTTTTTATAGAGACCAAGTAACTCGATCATTGTGCATCAGTCATGTCTCTGATTGTGACGTTGAAAGGTCGTACATCTACGCTCTCCATAGACTTTTTGACACCACTTCAACTCGATCCAGACTCTGATTACGGACTAGCATTGTTGGGATTCCATTCATACAACAGTATACCAAATATCGACAAAGGATCAAAGTTTTATCTGCAAGATAAGACCAAGGCGGGAAAGATCATCGATATTCCCGAGGGTTCATACGACATTGTGGACATTGAGACATTCATACGCAAAGAATTGGGCATCTCAAGTGCAAAGGACGTTGATGATATATTCTCGTTGAAGCCCAACAATAATACACTAAAGTGTGAGATTTCGAGCCAAAGGTTTGCCATCGATTTTCGTCCAAAGGATAGCATAGCTCAAGTCTTGGGATTTTCAAATAGATTGTTGAACGCCCAACAAGTCCACACTTCCGATTTGCCGGTCAGCATAACCAAAGTGAGAACCATTCACATTGATAGCAACGTTACTGCTGGAGCTCTCTACAACGACAGACCATCACATACGATCTACGAGTTTGCAGTTGCAGTCGATCCTGGTTACGCCATAGACGAGACTCCCAGAAATCTAATCTATCTACCTATAGTCAGCAGGCGGGAATTGCCCAACATTACACTCCAGATTCTAGACCAAGATTTCAGGCAGGTGAATTTTAGAGGTGAAGAAATCATCATAAGATTGGAATTGAAGAAACTCGCAAGATGGTACTAGTGTTTGATTACTCCTATAAATCAGATAATATACCATCATCAGCAACATCATCGGCACCAGTTCTCTCGACACCGTGCACCAAAGCAGTCGTGTCTTCGAAGAGCAGCAGCAGCAGAAACAGAAAAACATTGACATTATCCAGTGTCCTGTTTCTGAAATCATTCAAAGACTACAATGTTGTTAGCACCCGTGTTCGACGTTTTCCGCAAACCCAGACTCGACGAAAGCATCACTAAAGTGGAATGGCGTACCTATTATCCATATGTGAAATCATTCGAGAACAATGATGTCATCGATATAACGGTTAATCAAGCAGATTCGTGGTTGGCCATGTTTGAAGGCATCATTACCATCAAGGGTAAATTGAAGGTGACCGGTGGTGGTACTGGTACATTAACCCACAATGCTGGAGCTTATCTCTTTGATTCCTGCACCTATGAATTATGTAATAAAGAATTGGACACTGTCAGATATCCTGGAATAACGAGTACTGTGCGAGGATACTTGTGTTATACACCTGAAGACTCACGTCATCTAGCCATAGCAGGCTGGAACTATCCCAATGCTCCGATCCTCAACACCGATGGTACGTTTAGCATGAATATTCCACTGAAACATTTGTTTTCCATCTTCAATGATCATCAAGTGGCAACGTGGGGCAAGCAGTCAATCCGTTTAGTGAGAGCTCGCAATGATGCCAATAGTGTGAAGGTTGTCGAGAGAGCGAATACTGCTTTGCAAGGATCTCCTCAGACTCAGAGTATTGCTAAAATAACGATAGAAAGCATCAATTTGAAAGTGCCACATCTCACACCCAACGATGACATAAAGTTGCAGTTGTTGACACGTATCAAAGCAGATGAGTCTATGATGATACCGTTTCGCCGATGGGAATTGCACGAGCTACCAGCACTCACACAAGGATCTACCATAGAAATCTGGTCCGTAAAGACATGTTCTGCATTGGACAGTCCAAGATATGTTATAGTATTTTTCCAAACGAAAAAAGCCGATAATTTGCATGAAGATGTCACCTTGTTCGATAATGCCAACATCAAATCCATACGATTGGCTCTGAATAGCGACTATTATCCGCAAGAACGAATGCTATTGGACTTTTCCAAAGACCAATATGCCGACGCCCACTTCAACTATACAGAGTTCAACAAGAGCTACCATAACTGTCAAGAAAAGCGCTCTCTAGTAAACTTTGCCGAATTCAAATCCCGACCAATGTTTGTTATCGATTGCTCGAGGCGCCATCTGGGTCTAAAGTCGTCCACAGTTGACATCAAGTTGGACATTGAAGCGACTACAGGCTTCCCTCCCGACACCAAAGCCTATTGCATCATCATTCACGATCAAATCATGGAACATCTCCCACTCAGCGAAATTGTTCGAAATATTGCCTAGGTGGGTGTGGCTGCATCAGTCAGACGTCAGTTTGCTTCGAAGAGTCATGGAGATCGCACTGGTTGACATTCAAGGGTTCACGGTTGATTGTGAATTCATTCCAAAGGAAATGACCATTCGCATAGGCAAAAAGACGAGTCATTTTCTATTCAAGCCATCTGTAGAATTTTCCAATTTGAACAAAGAAGATAAAAAGATGGCAAATCACCTGGAACGCTATGTGCATGGTTTGAGATATTCCAGTGGTTATGTGGATTTGAATGAGTTGGATCAAATACTACGAGATAACCTGCAGCAGACAAACATCATCTACGTAAGAGGCCATCAAAAGATTCAGTTTTTGCAGCGAAAATGTGCAGAGTTGGAGATGACCAATCACATTGTTAATTTGGAAGATTTTGACAATTCTTGGTGGCAGCCAATAACGTTCCTACAATCCATTCCACCCTGCATGAATCATTTCCATGGAGGAAGGTTCCAGTGCAGTCTCCACAATGTCGATACTTTATATAATTGGTTATGTAATTTATTGCCAAAATAAAAAACTATATATCGTAATTTCAGAGTTTTTATTCATCACATCCCTTATTTCTCAGTATAATGAAAATAACATGCGAGATCAAAATGAGTGAACATATTAGTGTACAACAAAGTTTCAAAATTGCAATGATATTGACAGAATCTTGATCATCATCTAATTTTGCGGGTGATTTCTTCAATGTTAATGTCTGCCAGTCTCCCATTTCGCCGTCACTGCCATCAGAAAACGATAATTTCAATTTGTAGTCGATGGTGGTCCCATTGACTCGAGGCATGTCGATTGAATATACAGGTAGTTTGTTATCGTTGATATACATTCTACTCATCAGCTTCCAATCACACTGTTGTGTACGATTCACATCAAAACATACGGCTGCATTCCTCGTATTGTACGGTATGTTTGTGTAGAAGACGTTGTTGCTCAGAGCTGTCAATAGAATGGAGCTTGCTTTCAGTATCGCCATCTAGTAGCTGTGTTGGTTGGATTCTTCTCGATGTAGGAAACGTTGCAACTGAACGTCTTGGTTCTGTGAACACCTTGTCCCAAACACTCAATTGCTCGAAATCTTTGAACAAACAAACTTTCTGCTCATACAATTGGATGTCTGCACTGAGCTTTCTAACTTTCAACCCAAATTCTTCTAGTGCACGTCTGTATTCGTCAGAAGACATGATACAACTGTTTTTTACATCCATACCTTCAACTAATATCCATCCAATCTCTCTCTTTCTCTCTTTCTCTCCCTCTCTCTCTCTTCTTCTCACTTTTTTACCCTCTCACTCTCTCTTACACTCACTACCCATCCCAATGATATACAGAAAATTTCAATAATTATTTTATTAATGATAGATAGGCAGCATATATTATATTTACATTAATAGCCAGGACAAGTATTACATTTTCATAAGAAAAAACATATTCTGAAAAAAAAAGCATTTTTCATTGTCTTCTTTCGCAAACTACATTTGTAAAGATGATATCATGCTACTAAAATCTGTAACATATTGTTAAAGTAAGTCAAGAATCAATATCTGTGTGTTCATCACCAGAATCGATGAATCTCTCATAATGATAATGTGAATCATGTAAATTCATATCACATTCATATCGTTCTTTAAGCCCAAATAATAATTCTAAATCTAAAACAGAGGAGTGTAAGTGTAGGTGTATGGTTTTTTTTTCTTTATAAATGTTTGATGAGTTGATTTACATGGAAAAATTACTCTTTTGCCTGTGTATGACCCCATGGCAATGTGTCAAACGAACCTGGAATCAAATACCGTTTATCATCTTTGGGACTCAGAGCAATTTTTGATTGTTGAATGCTAAACACATTGTGGGCATATGAACGGATAGTACGTTGAGACACTGTTTGTGCTCCGAAATTCTTCAAACAATTCAAATAATCTTCGAACCCAATTTTATTCTTGACAACATTAGTTTTCACCCCTTTCGATTTTTTGACAACCTTACCCCCTTGTACTTTATATGCATACATTTTCGAACGTAGTCCTACGAAATTAGTAACGATTTTCCCATTTGCTTCATCTTTTAATAAACCCAACTTTTTTTTATTGACTAGTGGCATATTATATTCATTATCTGGAGCATATTCAGATGTGTCAAATTGAGAGAGATCAGCCTTTATAAATTCTTCATATGCATCATCACATTTCAATTCATATATGAAGCTGTCTGTATCCATATATAACAATTTACACCTTTCAATACCCATTTTCGGAAGCATATACTCATAGTGAAATTTGTACATACACAATTTTGATAAATCTAAAATGGCCATTCCTACGTATAGAGGTTTATTTAAAATTATTTCGGTTTTCTGCATTTCTTTGGCAATCAAGTTTTCTTCAAAAATTGTTCTACCACGGAATCGTGGACTAGCTATGAGATTTCTGGCTCCATAACGTCCCTGCCATGACCTTACTAGTTTCACTAATCTATGCTTTCGTATGTTTTCCATCGTCTTACCGAAAACTGCATTATTCATTAGTTTATAGAGATTTTTCTCAAATTCATTTGTTGCGGCAGTCCTCAAAGAAGTATTCAGATCTATATATGATTTGAGCCAAAAAGATTGCCTGACTTTCAAAATTTTGTGGATTTTCGTCAGTTTCAGTCCGTTTGCTAAACATTGTTTTAAATTTCTATAGTGTAAAATATAATCTTTTTTGTCGTAAAGTGTTGTCATTAATTTTGGTAATTTTGAGCCGGGTGGTATGCGATGTTCAGCAGCAAATGGAAAGTCTTTGTGATTGTTATGTAAGTCTACTTGTAAAATATATCCTTCAAGAGCATCATCAGCAATATTCATTACGTTGAAATTTTCAACGTTTTCCATCCATGAGAAATCTCCGAATGGTAAAAGACTCTGACATTGCCCAACCGTACAAATTATTTACATCTAAATACATGAGATATTTTGAAGGTTTATTGGAATCATATTCAGACATATACTTGTTATTAGCTTCTGAATACCTACCACTACAAACAGAAATACCACCACGTAATGCCTTCTCGATGAACATGATTTTATCAACGTCATTCAATAATTCCAGTTTGCATTTGGTGTACTTTAACATGGCATCCCATGTATATCCAGGCATAGTATAGTACCATGCTGGATCTAACCCATAAGTTGTCCTACATTTCTGCCGGAATTTCTCGAAAACAGCGGTCAACAACATAACGTCTGTTTTTAAATATAAGTCAGAATATTCCCCTAAATTTTGAATTTTGAATGATGACCATACCTTTTGAGCATGGGCGTACTGCTCATCGCTAATGTGTTCATCATTCAATTTATTATAAAAATATTTCTTTGTAGGTAATTCAGTATCATTCAATTTTTCCAAACAACTAATGTAATCGTAGGGAAAGACACCCTTCTTGGTGAGAAGGTTGAATGTATCATCGTTCAAATGACTGAATTCTTTTTTCAAAATTTCAAAATCTTTTCTATCCATGATTGAAGATAATTTATCTAAGGATGTACCCATGAAGCGAAAAGAGTCAATAAATCGGAATTTGATGTCTGTATTGTCATCATGTAAAGTGAAAGATATGTACTTTTCCATGTTTATTGGAAGTATGCTCATACGACCCTTTTTACTCAATTGACTGATCATGAAATGTGAATCATATCCTATCAGGTTGTGAAATGCAATTGGAACAACAAAGAGTTTCTTGAAATTTATGTTACAGGGTGCTTGATGCGCCCACCCCCTGAACTCGCCTGAAAAGTGATTATGATCAGCTACGATAATGTCTTTCTCCCTGAATGGTTTCTCACAAATATGACAGATTTTTGCTTTGCATTTGTCAGGACTAACAGTCATTGGCACGATTGTTTTGATTTTAGATTGCACGATTTCAGCTATCTTCGACATTCCATTTGCAAACCAATCCATACAATCTTCACCCCTATGGCTATTGAAAAACGACAAGGAATCATCGAAATCACATTTAAAATAATAGCCTGCACTATGAGCCACATGTTTCTGATATTTGCTTGTTTTTGATGAAACCATATCATCCACATGTTCTAATTGACATTCAAAGTCTGCATAAATTATAAAGGGGGTGGTTTGTTGGTAGGTGAAATTTTTGAATTCTATGTGATCATATTTTGGAAATGAAACTTTGCATTGGTTCAATTCAGAACACAGCATTTCATGATCAATCAATTTTTGTTCACATTGAAAATAATTCATGCATCTTTCACAAATAAATTTTTTACCATTATGTTTATTCACTTGGCTTGATATTAATCTAGACATATCTTGAATCAAGCAGTAATGGTATTTGATGTCAGAATCTTCTTCATCAATCGGAGGAGCCTCATAATCATTTAATTTTGGATAATATTTGTTTTGAATTAGCAATAGATTAACGTGCCTTTCTAATTTATTTTTTGTAAGTCTGGCTGGCACCACAGTATAATATGATTTTTCCTTGACTAAATTCAACTCTAATGTGTATACATTCACGGAAATGTTATTGTCTTTTTCAAATTTTGGAATTTGACGTAGAGACATGGGTGCATCTAAATCTACTGTTTTCAGAACTGTAGTGTAATATGGATATGAAGAAGTCCGTTCCCTATTTGTTTTCGCTGGGTAGAAGGCACTTATGATTGACCAATAGAAACATGCCGAGTCAGTATTTTTTATATTCAAACATGCTTGCTTTTTAGAAATTTGTTCTGGCAGTCTGATAAAGGATGAACCATTTCCCATTTCAAGTTTGTTAATATTAACTTCCATTGATATTATTTTATGCAAAGCCCACCCAGAGTCACGTTCTTGAAATTCGCTTAATTTATTCAAAATTTTGTCCTGAACATTATCATAGTACGAATGTTGTAAATCCGTTCCTACGTCCACAATGGCATTTTTAGTGTTGAAATATTTCAATTCGATAA